AGCTTGAAAGAAAAAGGTTTCCTGAACTTTTTTCAGGTGATTGTTGTCTGAGAGTATTGTGAGAGAGGATGATCTCTTAGCTCAAATAGAGTATTGAAGCTCAGTATGGAGAGGGGATTTGCGGGTTTATGTCTTTTTCTTATTTTATCAAGAGGTTGATTTCTAAACCAAAACTAGGGTTGAATTTTGATGGGACTTCCAACTGGGAAAGTGATGCTGATCCGACCTAGACAGACACTCACACAAAGCTCACTAATGGATGGGACTGTGCTTGGTCACTTATTGGTTTCCCAACAAATAATAAGTTTGGCTTGTTTTGACCAATCCCCTATTTGCATTGCTATAAATTTGAGATACACTTTGCACTAATGATATTGCTTCTGTTGGTGCATAATTGGAAAAAACACCGAGCTATTTAAATTTGGTTGACAAATGCCTTAAAAAATAACTTATAATTTAATCCAAAAGGTGTGTTCTTTTTTCAAAAAGTGCACACACAATCTAGTTACCGCCCCACTCAATTTGTTCAAGTGGCTAATTGAATAGTGGCCACTAGTTGACCTAACGTTAAAAATTGGTCTAGTTCTAGTGGGTTCTATTGCCCACATCTAGTAACGGCTTGCAGCTATATGGAAGTGCATCATCATTTCCACTTGGCTTTGCAATAATACTAAAGGAAAAATACTCGCCTCCTTTGCAGGAAGTGGGGATTCCTATTTTCTTGTTAATCATAGTTTAACATGTGTAGAGATTTATCGTTTTATATTTTTTTAAAATTATTTTTGTATATGTATCATATTGTGATTTTGCAAGAAATAAAAATACCTCTTTTGAGGGAATAAGGGAAGCAATGTCCATATCAAAATAAAAGAAAACATAGAAGTAAATAAATTCCCAAAATTATGTATGTATGCTTATGTGTCGCATATTATCATATGCATGTGTAAGGCAATGGAGGGAATCAATGTCGTGGGAGAAAAAAAAAAGCAACTAAGATATCTTAGAAAATAATATAATCTTTCGGCTTATGCCAATTAAGGTCCAATAATTATACCACTAACCATTAAATTATTTTAAGTGAATAATTATCCTATATATATAGATAAACAATTAGGTCACCCCAAAAAAAAAAAAAAAAAAAAGCAAATATTTCCTAAAATTTGTTAAGAAAATAAAAGATGTCCAATCTTATGACAACAACAAATAATTGGTGGAAAATTAAGAACCGCGCAAACAATGAAGAAAATTTGCTCAAGACAAAAAGGAAGGGAAACGTGACAAGCAAAGCAACAGCAATTCAATCCTTTTTTTCATCTGTGGAGCACCACCAAACTTTGTTTGCTAGATCTGCCAAAAAACAAAAAAAAATTATTAATTATAATAATTGTTTCTTTAAAAAAATCATCTGCCAAAAAAAAAAAAAAAATTATTAATTATAATAATTGTTTCTTTAAAAAAATTAAATTAAATAACTGTATTAATAATGCAGTGAAAGTATCATTGTCTGTACAGATATTAGATGCTTTAAACAATATTACCAGATAATTAACAATCCAGTTTGTTGGGAAAGAACAAAAGAGGTAATATTCAAAACAAAGGAATTAAATTAAAAGGAGCCAAAAAATTCATAGGTCTGTGTCAAAGTTACCAAACAAAACATCAGTCTCAGGGACTATACATGCTGGTGGAGTGGTGGTTTCTCCATCCACATATATGCATTATAGTCCTACATTTGCTTGTTTTTATATGACTTATGCATTACAAACGTATAGGTTTTTTTGAACCCTGATTTGAGCTCCAATAATTATTGAAGAAGTAGAACTATGGACTTGACAAGTTTACATTAGTAGTAATGAAATGATGCATACCAAATTACTATTCGTTCATGAGATTCTTGACTATAATTTTTAAAAAGAAAGATTTCATATATGAAATACTGAACAAATAAAATTAATTGGCAATGAGGGAGTAGTCATACTCTCCGAATTTTTTTGATGTAGGACAACAATTCACATCACATCATCACACGTTCCGTATATGAGATAAAATTTCAAGCATAACATGTGAATAATGCATATTAGGTGACAAGTAGCACGCGTAGTCGTTGAGATTCACACGTGAAAAAATCCGCTTTGATACCACAAAAAAAAAAAATGACGTTCCAACTCAAAATTAATTGGCAACAGAGAGTATTTTAACTCATTCTAAGTCCATTCTAGAGACTTCATGCACGACAAAACTTCTTATATTGACTTAAATCTCAACGCATTAAATTGTAAACACTTTCAAGAGGGTACGGATCAAATTGTCATCTACTTCCCCCTATGTGCGGTTTGATTGAATTGAATTAGGATAGTATAATTACAATTCTGTCAATCAATTCCATCAATCTACAATGAAAAAAAAAGAAGGTAATTTCTTGGGCAATAATTTCCCCACTCATATTTTATCCACTTACACTCCTTGTTTAGTTATAAAAAAGGAGTGTAAGTGAATAAAATAGGAGAAAAAGGAGTGGGGAAATCACCACTCAATTTCTTATACCCATCAATAGGCATTTTAAGGTACGTAACTATTCCTATCACTGGGTGGGTCCCATAAAAATACCAATCCCATCCCAATCCAAAGGGAAGAGAGGCAAGAAGAGATTCTACAAACTAGGGATGAGCATCTCATCCGAAATATCCGCGTACCGACTGTACTGTACCAATGATTTGGTTTGGTTTGGTTTGGTTAAATATTTTTTTTAAAATTTTAATTATTCTGATCCGATCCATATCGAAATGTTTAGTTTGGTTAACGGAAACAAAATTTCTAACCCGACGGAAACCTGTACCGATTCGATATTTCTACTTATTTTATTATTTAAATACAAAACAAGAAACCAAAGGTAAATACAATCAGCATTTTGTATCACTCATTTATCACTACTATATAACTTCTTTCTCACCATTGTATCACTGTTTTATCACCATTTTATCACTGCTTTATCACCACTGTATCACTTCTTTATCACCATTGTATCACTTATCCGGGTATTGTAGCACTTTTTGGTCGGAGAAGAATTTATGAAGTTCCCATGTTTTCCAATTTCGACATTTGTCCCCTTTTGTACCTCTAACTTTCCAACTGTTGATCCAAATTTTATGTTCTTTATATGGTTAGATTCAGCATGAAAAATTAAAGAGCTCTCCGTGGAACAAATGTCAAAATCATTTACATAAATGTAGATAATTTAATAAAAAGAACACTCAAAGGTACAAACAACAAACATAAATGGCTCTTAGTACATCTTGAGTACATATTGAATGATATAGTGACCAAGGATTAAAATATCGGCTATGCAGATAATATCGGGCCTCTAGTTTACGAATATTTCGGGGGATATATCGTTATTGTTTTAGGTATTGGGAAAAAAAAAAAAAAAAAGACATATATAGGCATTGAAACACATAATTTTGGTGTAAAACTTTCATAGATATTATGTACATTATCAATAAATGTATTGAACAAATAAAACTCAAAATTTACTAATAATAAGATATACATATGATGAAATATAAGTGGTATGTAATGCGCGTTAATGAAAAGTTTGAAAATAAAATGTTAATTAGAATAAATAAACCATGCATAAATCCATAGTTTGTTTAAACATTAGATTACAATTTAGATAAGTGTCTATCTACATAAATGAAGAGCTCCTATGAGGTTCAAATAATGAGGAATATCCATCTAGATTTATACAATAGTCATACCAAGTCATGTAACATGAGCAGTTTGTAAGTCATGTTTGAACATTGTGCACATAGGTCTCTCTTGAGCTCCCTATTATCCTCTCATATATGGGATAGTTAGGATTAACCAACTAGTAGGTCAATAATCTGTTTTATCATCTTGAGCTCCATAACTAGTTTCACTATAATCAGACATGACATAACCATAGCCATCATAAGACTCATTTGAGTTAGTACTATGTTTAGTTCCTATGCTTATAGATCCAAAACTGATCGCCATGTCCTCTTCAAATGGATTAGAGGTATGTGGGCAGTGGACTATGCATAGATTTTTCATATTAATAAACTAGGTTATGGGCAAGGATTAGCTATTTTTGGGTTCAATTTGCTTCAATTGCCTTCAAAACTTTTAAAATTTTTTTTGGGTTCTATTATGGGTATCGAGAAATATTGGGGATGTCGACAAAATATCGGGGATATAGCACTTATCGGGGATATATCGTCGATACAGGGGAAGATATGGCCTTATCCCCCGGTATCGGTGTCGACCGTTGAAAATACCGATATATCGGCAGATATATTGGTGTATCGGCCGATATTTCAATCATTGATAGTGACTAAGTTATTTGATTTCATACTTGGATTTTTATATTTTACAATGATAATATGGTGTATTTGTTCAAGAACTTATGTATGTGAAAGTATTATAAATTGTATTTTTATTAGTACGTTTTAATTACAGTACTACTGGCGTACTGGCCAATTCGAACCGAATATTAGGTTAACTGATCCGAAGTCTTTGGTTTGATTAATGGAATAGAAAATGGTCTATCGAAGTATTTGGTTTGGTTAACGGAAGACCCTTCTACCATTCCGAATCGATCCGTGCCTAGACCTACTACAAACCTTTAACAAAAAATTCAACGGCTGTGATTTTCTGATTACTTTTACATGGTATCCAAGTCCCAGTGGACCCAACAGGGCCCCGAATTCCTCCTACATTACAAAGTGCAGCAGAAACGTCATTGCCAACCCTTACCCATTAGATATATATATATATATATATATATATATATGTTTAATAAGAATTTCAAAATTCATTAAAATTAATAAATAAAATTAGAAAAATAAAATACATCCCGCAAAAATGATAATTACTCTGTATAAGCCAGCAAGGAAACTGCCATAAAAAGCCAAATATTTTCTCTTCTGACTGTTAAATCTCCGCCCTTCCTTCCTTATCACACCCATCTCTCTATATCTCTTTCCCCCTCCTATTTTTCCATCTCCACCTTTTTTCCTTCTTCCTCTTCATCTCCATACAAACCTCTTTCATTGTTTCTGCTCTCCTCATTATCCAAACTCTGAACCTCACCACTCAGAGAGAGATAGAGAGAGAGTGAGAGCTTTTACTCTTCTTATCTTCTTCATAATTATTAGCTTAATTATGGTTTTCTACTTGCATGGTTAATTGGTGCAGCTCAGTTTAATTATCTCCTATTCATTTCTGCTTCCTTCTGCATTAAAAAAAACTCAATTTTCTCTTGAAAAACTTAATTCCACATACTTGGTAATCATTTTTTTTAATGGTTTTTTCTTTTTGTGTTTTCATTTAATCTTCAGCTCAGCTGTTTTTTTTTTTGAAGTGTTTCTGTTTCTGAAGTGTTTCTCAGAATAGAGAGAAACACTTTTGAGATATTATTGGCTTGTGCTCTAAACCTTATCTTGATATAATTAATTAAACTTGTTCAGATATCTACTTAGGTGGGTAATTAAGGATATTCGAGTTTAAGCTCATTCATTCAAGCAAAGCTGAAAATGGCACCCAGAAACAGTCGTGGAAAGGGCAAGGGAGAGAAGAAGAAGAAAGAAGAGAAGGGTAATCAATCATTAATTTGTCTTCAAATCGCTTAGTTTAGTCAAACTAATCATTAGTTAAGCACCCGGATTAATTAATCTTTGTATCGTTTTTTTTTTCTTTTCTGTCTCTGCAGTTCTTCCTGTTGTCATGGACATCACCGTGAACCTTCCTGATGAAAGCAGTGTTGTTTTAAAGGTTTGGACGGTTTCTAAATTCTGCTCATGGCTCTTGTGGCTGCAATTAATGTATAACAAGTTCTGCTATTAGCTTCGTCAACCTTGGCTAACTGAGTCTCTCTGTCTTGTGACTTGTACTCTTTTGTAAGACGGGAACGTTTTGTTTTTATTGCTTCCAAATTCCAATTCACATGGGCACTTTTTTATTTTTATTTTTTATAATTATTATTTTACATAGTGTTGCAATATTTTTAAGTACAAGCAATTGTATAGTGTCAAAGTTGGTTAATTGGCCGGTTTCGAATACGTGCTATAGTCTCCAAACTATAGGCATCACCCACCTACTTCCATAATAGAAGCTAGCTAGAAGCCTCTCTTGCAAGCACACAAAATGTAATGTGCCTTTTCTTGTCCTTGTCCTTATTGTTATTGTTCATACCAAGTTATAATGAGCCAATTCACTGTCATATTCCTACTCTTTAAGGACAGAAGTACATTATGTTTTTTAGTTAATGCTACATGTAACGTATATATGAAGGTTGAATCACTTACGCTAAGTGAGGTCCGTATGTATAAATATGTGACATATTATGGATATTAGCATTATTGAGTATGTAGCGAAATTAACATTGATATTTTCAGCAGGGAATTTCAACGGATAGGATTATCGATGTTCGTCAGCTATTATCAGTGAACATAGAAACTTGCAATATCACAAATTTTTCGCTTACCCATGAGGTAATTTTCATTACTTACAATACTTCGTCGTGATTGTCTCATTCTTGTTTATGGCTAATCTTATTTCACAATATCTGATGGAGAAAATGGCATGTAGTTGAAGACTTTTCATGACATTGCCTTTGACAAATTAGGGCATTTAGTACAAGACCAAATCAAAAGAAACCCTAAAATCAATTCCATGTGGCTGAACGCATAGCAGAAAAAATTAGACCATAATCACGTTCGTGGCGATGACTGTATAATTACCCATGATTTATTGCAAAAAGGCCAAAAAATAAAAAAAATTCAAACGACCATAATATCATTGTCGTTCATTGCAGGTACGAGGGCAGCGATTAAAGGATACGGTGGACGTCTCCGCACTAAAACCATGCGTCCTGACGTTGGTCGAAGGTAAATATTCAAAAAAGAAACCCGACGTCGTTTTGTCTAACTTCTATGATCTATCTTTATGGGTCGTTGGTCTTTAAGCGGTTTGAGGCCCATTGGGCTTTAGACGGTTTCAGGGCCATTGGGCCGAACGTATCCAAAACGTCGTCGTACCCGCGCCTTTTCTTCTTCCTCAATCAAATTTCTCACTCTCTGTGTGCTCTGTTTTTTTCAGAGGACTACGATGAACAGCGCGCGACGGCGCACGTCAGACGCTTGCTGGACATCGTGGCCTGCACGACGAGCTTCGGGGCATCGCCTTCGCCGACGAAAGACCAAGGTCTTAAGCTCGATGCCTCTTCTACAGGCTCTGGTAAAAATGCTCCGGGTGCGCAGGATAAGAGCGCCAAGAAATCCATCACCACCAACACCTCCAAGTCTCAAGTTTCCACAGGAGCCGATAAGCGAGACGTGGCGGTGGACTCGGAGACCGAGATGAGCCACTCTTGCCTTAAGCTTGGTTCTTTCTACGACTTCTTCTCTCTCTCCCACCTTACTCCTCCTCTGCAATGTACTCTCTCTGTCCTCTCTATCTCCTCTACGTATGTATGTATTTATTTTATGGCAAAAAAGTTGAGTGTAAATGCTGTGAATTGTTGCAGTTATTAGAAGGGGGACGAAACGACAAGTCGATGAGATTTTTCCCCAGGATCACCTCTTTTCCCTTGAAGTAAGACTTTCGTCTACGCAGTCTATGCACACACAAGGACACAATTTTTATTTTATTTTTGAGTTCTCAACATCCAAACACATCTTATGTTTTTGCAATGATCAGGTGAAGCTTTGCAATGGGAAGGTGGTTCATGTTGAAGCTTGCCGAAAGGGATTCTATAGCGTAGGGAAGCAGCGGATTCTGTGTCACAACCTGGTCGATTTGTTACGGCAGCTTAGTAGAGCCTTTGACAATGTTAGTAAGCTGTTGTTGAGTTTCTCAAGTGTTTATTTTTTCTCAGCTTAAGTATGTAATGTGTAGAGCAATTCAGCTTTGCAATTGTGTAATGATAATATGCGTATTTAATTTATCATATTTCAGGCTTATGATGAGCTCTTGAAAGCATTTTCGGAACGTAATAAGGTATAGGATCATTCATTATGCTTTCTTGTATGAGTGTGTATTTTCCCAGTTCTATGTTTGTAACTGAGTTTCTTGATCTTTTGCAGTTCGGGAATCTCCCTTACGGCTTTCGAGCAAACACATGGCTGGTACCACCCGTTTCAGCACAGACACCCTCAGTTTTCCCTGCTCTACCTGTTGAGGATGAAACTTGGGGTGGAAATGGAGGTGGTCTAGGAAGAGATGGAAAATTTGATCTGATACCTTGGGCTAACGAGTTTTGGTATATTGCATCTATGCCTTGCAAGACAGCCGAGGAGAGGCAGATTCGAGATAGGAAGGCATTTCTCCTTCACAGCCTATTTGTCGATGTCTCCATTTTTAGAGCCATTAAGGCTGTGCAGCATGTAATTGGAAAACCGGAATTGACTGGTTCAGTTCCAAACAGTGGAATTCTTTACACCGAGAGAGTAGGGGACTTGAACGTGACAGTTACAAAAGATGTTTCTAATGCAAGCTGTAAGGTAGATACTAAAATTGATGGAATTCAAGCAACTGGAGTGGATAAGAAGAATCTAGCACAACGAAACCTTCTAAAAGGGATCACTGCTGATGAAAACACTGCTGCCCATGTAAGTTATTTTCTGAAATAAATGTTGTTGATCAATACAAAATTTCTCCACGCTATGAGATTTATTTTGTAACTTTGGCACAGTTGAGGTGATTCTTTATAAAATTATGTGTGCAGGATGTCAACACTCTAGGTGTTGTCAATGTCAGATATTGTGGTTACATTGCAGTTGTCAAGGTTGAGGGAAAGGAAACTAAGAAAGTCAGTTCTCCATCTCAAGGCATTGAACTCCTTGATCAACCTGAGGGTGGCGCCAATGCCCTTAATATCAACAGGTACTCATTAATTCATCTGTGAGTATTATGTAAAGATACCAACCTTTTGTCATGGAGTTTTGGAGTTTTGCTATAAGAGCCTAACTTGTACCTTGTTCCTTGCAGTTTGAGATTACTACTTCACAAGACAACACCTTCAGACCAAAATAAACCGGCATCGCATATGCAAATACTGGAGCATGAAGAGCTTTCTGCTTCCTGCGTTTTTGTTGAGAGACTCTTAGAAGAAAGTTTTGCTGAGCTAGAGAAAGAGGAGCTAGATTCTGATAGTTTTGTGAGATGGGAACTTGGAGCTTGCTGGATTCAACACTTGCAAGACCAAAAAAATGCGGATAAAGACAAGAAACCATCATCTGAGAAGGCTAAGAACGAGATGAAGGTTGAGGGACTTGGGACACCTCTTAAATCCCTTAAAAACAGCAAGAAAAAATCAGATGGAGGCAATATCAAACTGCAATCTGAGAGCTCAAAGTCTCCTGCAGATGGTGCTGTTGGGGAAGCTGACAACGCTACATCCCCTTCTGTAGAGTCAAAATTTGAAACTAATGCCAAAGAAAATGAGCTTGTGCTGACAGAGATATTGTCTGAAGCTGCCTTTGCTCGACTAAAAGAATCTGAAACTGGACTTCACTGCAAGGTAATATATAATAGGTGTCAGTGGAGGCTTTACAACATTTGCTTATTTGTACTATACATCGTGAACTAATGTACCATGTACTTGACAGTCTCTGCAAGAACTGATCGACTTGTCTCAGAAGTACTACTCTGAAGTTGCTCTTCCAAAACTGGTAATGAATAAATATTTTTTTGCTTAAAATTTCTTATCTTTCTGCATGTAAGTATTGTTATGGTGATTCCTGTTTCTAGAATTTATCGTATAATACAGGTAGCAGATTTTGGTTCATTGGAACTTTCACCAGTTGATGGTCGGACTTTAACTGATTTCATGCATACTAGAGGTCTTCGGATGCGTTCTCTGGGGCACGTTGTAAGTTTTCTACTAATTTAGAGTTTTTGTATTTTAAATACAATCCCTGTATAATTCATCTACCTAAGAAACATTTTTGTTTGCGTCCTTACCTTGCTGGGTGTGCTATGTCCCATCTGAACTTTAATAATTTGAGATGGTGTTCTGATTTCTGGAGGTTGTTTGTTTATGTGGCTTTGAAGTGTGTAATAAAAAGAAACAAAAAAGAAAGAGTATATGACAGTTTTCCCAAGATCTGGAGCTAGCAATCCTTTTATCATGTGTTAGTGGCTGCTAGGCAATGTTTTTATTTTTTGGTCTGAGCTGTTAGGCAATGTTAACCAGCCACTAATGTTTGCATAGCGTCAAGTTTATAATGTGCATTATCCTTTTGCTTATATCTGATTCTTGCATTATCTCTCATCTCCAAACTGGAACTCTCAGAAAATTTGAAATCCTACATTTAGGTGATGTTTGTTCTGCTGCTTAAACAGGATGCCATATTGAATGAAAATTGCCTTTTATTTCTTTACAGGTCAAGCTTTCAGAGAAGCTATCCCATGTGCAGTCCCTTTGCATTCATGAGATGATAGTGCGAGCGTTTAAGCACATACTTCAGGCAGTGATTTCCGCCGTTGATAGCACTGAGAAAATGGCTGTGTCGATTGCTGCTGCCTTGAATCTTATGCTGGGGGTTTCGGAAAATGAAGAATTAAATAAGTCATGCAATGTTCATCCCCTTGTGTGGAGGTGGCTGGAGGTATTCTTGCGAAAGAGATATAGATGGGATCTTAGCAGCTTCAACTACGGCGATGTGAGGAGATTTGCGATTCTCCGTGGATTATGTCATAAGGTATGTAGCATGTCATTGAACATTAGCTTTTGGAGATGGCCCACATTCTTTAATACTGTCTTTGTAAATTCACACTCTAGTTTTTAAGCTTGTTTGTTGACCATGAAGCTAGCAAATATATATCTATATATTAGGAACAAAAGACTTCCATTACAAACAAAGTAAACCAGCTGTCTACTGGAAATACATAAAATACCTCTAAACAACTAGCTGCTAGAAAATTTAACGTTGCAAAGCATTCTAAACTAAACAATATGTTAAGAAATAACGACCTGGCAATCTGCATGAATAAAAAACAAGGGTGTATCCCAAAATTCAGAGGAAATCAGAGCCCCAAAGTGAACTCACTATGAAGGTTGCAACTAATGCCTCAACTTGTTTGTCATGCCAATATTCATAGATTACTTTTGACAGGTTAAACTCACTTATCAAAGTCAGGTAAAACTCCTATGTAACCATCAATGGTCATTACCAACCACTTTGATGAATCCTTCCAATCACGAGATTGCAATAAGTATTCTCCTTCCTGACTCCCATTTTTCTCTAAATGCATTGATTTCTATAGTATAATTATCTATGATGTTAGATTATACATACATAGATCAGACTAATGTCTTGCTGAATTTGAGGATAATCATAAAATAAAAATGATCATCAATCGTGTATTTAATAACAAGTATTTTGCATATGTACTAAAATATGAACACTGACATTTTGTTCTCTCTTTCCCCTTCCCCATCCCCCAAATTAGGTGGGTATTGAGATGGTTCCAAGGGATTTTGATATGGATTCTCCAAATCCGTTCCGAAGTTCAGATATTGTCAGTCTAGTCCCAGTGCATAAGGTGAAGACTGGACATAACATATTAAAAGCATTTTTTTTCTATTCTATTGAGTCTCAGAAGTTATTAGAGTGTGCCCATATTTTGTAATTTAACCTTTTATTCTGCTGTTTTCAGCAAGCGGCTTGCTCTTCGGCAGATGGTAGGCAACTCCTTGAATCATCAAAAACAGCTTTAGATAAGGGGAAACTTGAGGATGCAGTTGCATATGGCACTAAGGTATGTGGACTGGTACCAGAAATTTTTCTTTCATTCCTTTATATTAGTATTCTAGTTAGTTACCTGCTGTACTTTGGCATTTTCAGGCACTTGCAAAGCTGGTAGCAGTTTGTGGTCCATACCATCGAATGACAGCAGGAGCTTATAGCCTCCTTGCTGTAGTTTTATATCACACTGGAGACTTTAATCAGGTCTGTTGTTATCCCTTTTATTTTGGTGTTCCTGTGACATACCTGAGGTCAATTCTGTTACCTTTCATGACCAATCATAGACTTTAAATTGGGGGGTTGGCTGCATATATCCCTTCATACTTTCACTGTAAAAGGCTTCTTGGAGCAACATGTGCAAAAATGTGCAAAATATGTAAAGTTTGCCTTTCTTTTGGTAAAGGTTTCATGCCATGGATGATCAACAGTTTGTTCCAATTACAGGCTACAATTTATCAGCAAAAGGCTCTTGATATCAATGAGAGAGAATTAGGGCTTGACCATCCAGACACCATGAAGAGTTATGGGGATCTTGCTGTGTTCTATTACAGACTTCAACATACAGAGCTGGCTCTCAAGTATGTTTTTTTCTTGTTTAAGTTGATATCCGTGTATATAAATCTTTCACAGTTTGCATGTTCAGGGGAATCTGTGTTCTGTGTGATGATGTCAATGGTTGCTCTCATGATCTTATTGATGCAAGCTGTTGGTTTTGTTTGTCTTTGTTTATTTGACTATTTTTGTTCAAACCTGCATTGTCTTTTTTACTCATTCGTTCTTGAAGTTCTTCCATTTAAAGGAAAAGAAAACAGGAAGACAAAATAGTCTAGACTCATAAGTCATAACTGCATGATGCATAGTCTCTTCATTCATTAGTCTAAGTGTTTCTGATTTACTTTTTCCTACACGTATAAGCTCACAATTTTTTCTGATCAGGTATGTAAAGCGTGCTCTGTATCTTTTGCATCTCACGTGCGGACCATCTCATCCAAACACTGCTGCAACATACATCAATGTGGCTATGATGGAGGAAGGCCTGGGAAATGTACATGTTGCCCTCAGATATCTACACAAAGCTTTGAAGTGTAACCAAAGGTTACTCGGCCCAGACCATATTCAGGTTTTGTTTTTGTTCATTTATTTGTTCATTAATTTATCTATGTCCTAAAGTTCTAACTATCACAATATTTGAGGTAAGATGATAGATACAGTTCGTGCCAAAAATGAGGGCTCAGTTTGTAACTAACAAGTATACCACCAGTGAAACTTTACATGTTCTATGTGTTCACAGATACCCCACTAGAAAATTTATTCAAGATAGTAAATAAATTTGATTTAAGACAGTAAATTTGACCATTTTTTTATTTTTATATCTTTGAGAATTAAACATTTTAATGTTAAACCTCTCCAGACAGCTGCAAGTTACCATGCTATTGCAATCGCACTCTCATTGATGGAAGCATATCCTCTAAGTGTTCAGCATGAGCAGACAACTTTACAAATTCTGCGAGCAAAGCTTGGCCCAGATGACTTACGTACACAAGTATCTTCCTCATCTTGTCTTAGGCCCCCTTTTTCTTCTTAAAAAAAAATATCGCTTCTGAGGATTAATCATTCTAAAATGTTTTAACAAACACTGCAGGATGCTGCTGCTTGGCTTGAGTACTTTGAGTCCAAGGCTTTTGAACAGCAAGAAGCTGCAAGAAATGGGACTCGAAAGCCTGATGCATCTATAGCCAGCAAAGGCCACCTAAGGTTTGATAGCATTGTCACTGTTAATATGGAACTTTATTTAATCACTCCATTTATAATGTACTTATTATTCTGCTTTGATGTCTAACCACACAATTGTAATTTTTGACTACCAATGAACTTAAATTGTTGATTGTGGAAGTGCAAACATGAGGATGGATTGTAAACGGTGACCCTTTTACATGCCTACAAGTGTCATTTGTCGAAACTGAACTTGAAATTGAATATATTCCTTGTGGATTTTCTAGTCATGAGAAATTACATGATTCTTCTAAGTGTATTGGTTATGTTCTATTGTTGAATACAAAAGATTGTCTGGCTGAGATTATTTAGTGGCTCATGTTTAATTGAATTTCTTTCTCATAACATGCATATCCTTTCTAATACCTTTTTTTTTTCCACTAAAATTGGCAGCGTATCAGATTTGCTTGACTACATTAATCCAGTTCATGATGCCAAAGGGAGAGATATGGCGGTAAAGAGGAAAAGCTACATAACGAAGGTACGTTTGGGGCCAGGTCATTTTGTATTGTGGTTTTTTTTTCTTCCTTTTTTTTCTGTTTTTTCTGTTCGTTTACTTTCTTCCCCTTCTTGAAAAATAGAGTTTTGGTCGTGGTTATGAGTTTAACAGAGCTACACATACACTTTCTTTCAACTCTCTATTCTCTTGTAACGCACCTGATCAAAATATTTCAATTTGTTGTGCAGTTGAAGGAAAAATCCTACCAAACTATCAGCTTAGAAAGTTCTGATGACTCTTCAAAAGAAACCACTAAAGAGGGTTCAGATGAAGAGACACATATACTTGAACCAAGAGATAAAACAGATGCCATCCAGGAGAACATCCCTGCTCCGGTTGAACCCCAGCATGTCGTGGAAGAGATTGCAGGACAAAATCAAACTGTTTTTGATCAGATATCTTCTGAAACACATGTTGAAGGTGAAGATGGCTGGCAATCAGTTCAAAGGCCTAGATCAGTTGGCTCCTATGGGAGGCGTCTAAAACAACGGCGAGCAACTATTGGGAAGGTCTATAGTTACCAGAAGAAATATGTAGAAAGTGACACGGACTATTCTTCAGCAAAAAATACTAATCAAAACAGTAGGTATTACCTTGTGAAGAAAAGGCCAACATCTCATGGAAGTTACGCAGAAAACACTGCAAGTTCCTCTCAAGGTACTAAGTTTGGACGGAGAACAGTTAAAGCTGTAACATACAGAGTAAAGTCTGTGCCTTCGTCTGCCAAAGTAGTTACAGCAGAGCCCTCTAGGAATGACGGCAAAAGTTTCAGTTCTCCATCAGAGCTCAGTCTAAACATTTCGCCACGTGGCACTGCTCCAGTGAAAAATTCTATAGTCAGTCTCGGAAAATCTCCTTCATACAAGGAAGTAGCACTGGCTCCACCAGGTACTATTGCGAAAATGCAAACTGAGTTGCCCCATAGCAACGTTCCAGATAACCAGGAACATGGTGTTCAAATACATGAAGAAGAAACAACTGATGTCAAAGGAGATTCCAAACCAAACATAACTGAGTTAGAAAATATACTCGAAGAAAAGAAGGATTCCGTATTGGTTACAACAGACCACTTACAAGAGGAAACTGGAGCTGCTGAGAAGAAAGGAGAAATTAATTCAACGGATGCAAAGGATGATATCTCTTCACTGAGGGTGGTTGAGTGTTTGGATGGACAAGGATCCAGTGGGGTTAAGATTCATGAAGTGGTAGAGGATAAATTACTAAAAGATGGAGTGCCAAAATCTATGGGTACTCCCACGAAGGGAATCTGTGAGAAGGATCCATCTGGCACTTGTGAACTGCATGACTCCTTCTCCACTTTGCAAGGTGTAGAGGATGCTGCAAATTCAGTTGACACTCGAGGGCAGCCGAGTAAGAAGTTGTCTGCATCGGCTGCTCCATTCAATCCCTCACCATCCGTGGCACGTGCTGCTCCGGTTCCCATGAGCATCGCAATACCTTCTGGTGCGGGTCCTGTCCCAACTATTGCTCCTTGGCCAGTAAACATGAATCTTCATCCAGGGCCTGCTACTGTCTTATCTACACCAATGTGCTCCTCCCCTCATCACCCATACCATTCTCCTCCTGCCACCCCGAACATCATACAGCCATTGCCTTTTATGTACCCTCCTTACAGTCAACCCCAAGTAATCCGAACCGGTGCCTTTCCTGTTACCAGCAGTGGGTTTCATCCAAATCATTTCGCATGGCAGTGTAACGTGAACCCTAACATACCCGAGTTTGTTCATAGTACAGTTTGGCCTGGCTGCCATCCAATGGATTTCTCTGCCCCAACACCTGTTGTTGAGCCGATTTCTGATCCCCCATTGGAGTCAAACTTTCACAGTGATGATTCTGGTCCTGTTCTGCCAGTGGACATTGATAATGTGGGGGAAACTAAGAAAGAAACCAATCTTCTGACATCAGAGCCAATGAGTAATGCAATTGAGAGTGTAAAGGAAAACGGTCCAAACCTTTGTGGGGTTGAAGATGCTCAGAATGAACCAAGTGACAGCCCAAACAGAAAAGCTGGAAGCAGCAGTGAACGGACAAACGAGGGAGAGAAAACCTTCAGCATTTTGATAAGGGGAAGAAGAAACCGAAAGCAGACTCTGAGAATGCCAATAAGTTTGCTCAGTCGACCATATGGCTCACAGTCTTTCAAAGTCATAAATAACAGAGTAGTCAGAGCGAGTGATGCTGCCAAAGCCACCAGCTTTCCATCAAATGAGAATTGCACGACAACTGCTACTTAACACCCCCAATTTGCTTTTGTTACCCATCAGGTGCAGCAAGATTTTTGAGCAAAAAAAGTGGGAACAAAATCTTATTTTGCGTTATATCCAGAAGGGACAAGAATCAATTGATCTCTTGTAGTCAGTTTCTACTTACACATGCTTCTCAAAAATGAATTCAGGTTAGTGGTCTGCTTACACCTTTGTTCTAACAGTCTATTGTTGTCATCATTATATTATTATGATTAATATTTATAGTTGCTTTTCTTTTTTGAACTGTCCATGTGCAGGTTTTACAGTAGGCAGCTTAATTTTGGAACTTCTGCGGGACTAATTTATGGGATGACAATTTTGGTTCATCACATATAAGAAATTTTGTTATTTTAAATTTTCAGACCACAGCATTCAAAACTTATATCACTTCTTTTGGTTACAATAAATGGGATTTTCATTTTTGATTTGGATCTGTTGTATATGACTTAATTATTTTTCCCCATTGTCCAAGTTGAGATTCTTTTGAACTCCTTTCTTCCTTCTTTAGCTTTGATGCCTTTTGTCACTCTTAGCTCAAAACAAGCTCACTTAATTACTGGTTGAACGTTGAGGTCGTTTCTAACCCTAAACTATAAACCCTAAAATCTAAAGGACGGGTGCCAACATAGAAATGTCAGAAGTACAAGAAAATTCAACATAGAAAAGTCAAAAGTACAAGGTAAGAATTATGCAAGAGGCACATATTGTTAGGAATATATTCAAAACAGTAAGGAATGTATATATATATATATTTCGTTAGGTTGTATGCATGTACCTTCTTTGGCACAAGAAAGTTTTGAAAATTCTTGTATGATTTAGAACCTATAAACAAAGTCTAAATTTTTATTTCGTTAGAAAAAAAAAACCTAAAGCATTTGGTTAATTTGTTATAGTATTTGGTTAAAAAACCGTAATAATGTCTTACATGGATTAGCGCCAAATAAAGAGAAAAACTCCGATGTGTTCATACGGGAAGGTGCTCTTCTTCAACCCTCAAACGATCCATCAACACTTCTTCAGTCAAGAATTTTGAAGCTTGTAGTGCAATACATATCTTTTGTCAGGTAATACAAAGATAAAAGTTTTTATTTTGAAAAAAAGAAAAAAGATATTTGAATATTTAAACAGTATCGCCACGCAGTTGTTCTTTTAAAATATATTTATATTTAAAGCATATAGACAGGTGGCTACTCTTTAAATATATTCGAATATTTTAAAGCATAGCTGCACAGTTATTATCCATATAAAGAATTTAGTATTTTTCATTTTAATATTCGTATTATACACGTACATATGTATTTTTCAATAATACTTCCGTTTTCCATACATGTCTTAAAAAATTAGTAAAATACACATTTAAAAAAAAGCAAAAATATAATACACGTATGTACATATTTGTCATGTTTAATGCACGTGTTTTTATATATATATAAAATCAATTATACACACAAATTCACATATTATACACATAATTTTCATATTATTGAATAAAAATAACATATATTAAAAAAAATAAAAAAAATTGTGTTAAAATATTATATTGTGGCTGAACTTTTTGGTTGTAACTTGCCAAAATTTTGCCGAATAAAACACATACGTATTTTATTTGTATTTTACTAACTATGAAAGAATGTGAGAGGCTAAGATTATTTCTTACTTGTTGTAACAAAAATGCAAGATTGTGATTTTGCAATCTCTTTGCCAACGAGAACAACAATTTCAAACAAAGATTTATGGGTATAAAAGTAAAAAGTGGTACTATTCTTCATGTAAAGTGTTGTTTGAAAAGTGAAGCAATACCAAGACAACTCCAACTCACGATGCAATTCTCTATGACAAATAATGTTTGCAGTAACAGAATTTAATAGTATTCAAGAGAACGAGGTAGATCAAGGCAAACATTCCCAAGAAAAAAAGAAGAAAAAATTGAACTCTCATATTCAAGATAGATTTATAGATGGAAAGAGGCCTTGGAATTACGCTGGGAAAAAGAGAAGATTCGGACTCCTAATCACTAGGTGGGTCCTTTGTGTTTTTTGTTAATTTAAAAAATATATACTATACTCTGGGTCCTTTTTAATTTTTTTAATTAATATTATAACCGGGATATACTGAAGCCCTTGTTTTTTCCGTCGTAATTTTCGTTTATCTATAGGAGTAGTTTAGAGCATTATACATTAATATTAGGCTTTTACCCAAGTCTCTATTGTTCATTTTTGATTTTTCACTTTTCCACAATTATTACCCTTGTAAAATACTCGTATTATATACATACATATGTATTTTTCAATAATACTTTCATTTTTTGTACACGTCTTAAAGTCTCGGTAAATTCACATTTAAAAAAAAAAAGAAAACGTACAATATTGTATATGTATGTATGTATTTCTCATATTTAATACGTGTGTTTTTTTGCAAAATTTTCAATAAGACACAAAATTCACGTATTATACAAATAATTCTCAGATATTATTGAATAAAAATAATATATATTAAAAAAATTATATAGTGGCCCGATTAATATATGTAAAGTATAACCTAGTACAACTAGGTTGACCAAAAAAAAACCTAGTACAACTAGGAAGGTGTTTTTTTTTCTTAATTTTTATTTATTACACCGTATAGCCGGGCGGCTATACGTTTTAAATATAATGTATTTAAATAGTATAGCCGTCCGGCTATACTCTTTTTGACAAGTGACGCCTAACCGCTTGTTGGTCCTTTTTTTGACTGGTGGAGTGCTGTGAAAACAAAAATGGATACGGGGTAATGACCTAATAGTCAAGAGTGGAGCCGGTCGGCTATACTCGTTTTTGAAAAAAAAAAAGTAACTGCTGCTATTGCTTTCTTTCCGCCTGAGAGGCCAGACATCCGCCACCTAATTCGTTTAGGTTGAGCCATGATACCAGAATGCTGAAGCAGCTGAATTGGTGGTAAGGTAACTTGTACATTCCGATTGATGCATAGAAGTCAAGACACTAAGACCCACCCACGATCCCAACTATAGTGCCTGTGAGCCTGACCAAATATATTATTTAGAAATTTACAATAGAGTTCAGTTAAAGAAAACATTAATGACCAAAAATCCATTACAGACACCTTTCACGACTCTTCTCCTGAAATACAGCTGGTGGTTTTTCAACCCAAAGCTTAATAAAGTCTAAAAAGAACATGTATATCAACAATTTTGCATAGTAACGCTAAAACATGTGCACTACTGAATCAATCAAAGATTGAAAGTTTAAAGGAAAAACTTTAAATCCTGGCTACATGAAGACAATCTTTTATTCTCCAAAAATTTATGTGTTCTGTTGCTTTTACAGACTTTCTCCACCATGACAGGAACATTGTGATTCACACAAAGGAAATCACAGAATTATTGTGATTCACACAAAGGAACACTGTGATCCTTTATTATTATTATTTTTTATAGTACTGTTTTTGACACGCCGTGTGGCTACACTGTTTTTTATTTATTAAATAGTATCGCCGTGCGGCTATACGCATTTTTTTTTTTAAAAATAGTATGGCCGCCCGGCTATACGTTTGGGGTATTTTTAAATATAAAAAATAGTACTACCGTGCGGCTATACTATGTGTTTCAAATTTTAAATCTTACAGCCGGCCGGCTGTACGTTTCTGACATGTGCCGCCTAGCGCTATGAGGCAACTTTGTTTATTTTTCGAACAAACAGTAGAGCCGCGCGGCTATACTCTTTTTCCACATGGCTCCTAATTGCTTGAGGGTCTTTTTTATATTAAAAATTAGTACAGCCGTACACCTATATCTTAGAGTATAGCCGCTTGGCTATATGGGTTTGACGAGTAGCACCTAGGCGCTATTTGGAATAAAGAGTAGAGCCGCTCGGCTATACGAATTTTTGTTAAATTTTTTTTTAAAAAAAAAAATAGTGTAGCCGAACGTACTGGGTTTTGTTTTTTTGTTTTAATTGTCTTTAATAATATAGCCGAGCGGCGATACGCTCGCTCTCTCTCTCTCTCTCTCTCTCTCTCTCTCTCTATATATATATATATATATAAAGGGATCTTTTGTTTCTTTTAAAATTTTTCCCCGATTTAGAGTAGTTTATAGCATTATCTATTACTATTAGGCTATTACCCAAGTCTCTATTGTCCCATTTTAATTTTTTACTTTTCCAGAGTTATTATCCGTATAAAGAATTTAGCACTTTCACTTTTAATACTCTATTATAGACATATGTACGTACTTTGCAATAATACATATGTGTTTTGTACACGTCTTAAAGACTCGGTAAAATTCATGTTTTTAAAAAAAGCAAACGTATAATACTCATATTGTACATGTACGTATGTATTTCTCATACTTAATACATGTGTTTTTTACAAAATTTTCAATAAGACACGCAAAATTCATGTATTATACAAATAATTCTCACATATTATTGAATAAAAATAATAGATATTAAAAAATTTATATAGTGGCCGATTAATATCTACTTTGGATATTTTGAAACTAGCAAATTAATATCTATAAAGTATAACCTAACGCAACTAGGAGGGTGCTTTTTTCTTAATTTTTTATTTATTAGGTCCATTCCTCTCAACTAATTATTATCTGCCCCAGTACTAGCACCTTCATCATCACTGCCACCCTCAAGTAAAGCTTTTCCACAAGTCCCAGCAACCTGGATTAATACAGATTAGATATGCATGGTAAACATTGCAAGTATTTAAAATCTTCCCACTCATATACGAGTAGGGCAGCCCCAGAACGAAAAATAAGAATGATTACTCATAATCCAATAATTCCCAAAACCCCAAGATATTCCGAGTTGCAAAACATTTCAGAGAATTAATTATGAGAACCAATTTGTGTTTCCTAACAAAAGAAATGAGGGAACAGGGATGAAAGAGGCATTATGTTGAAATAAACAAGAAGTGAATTTTATATTAGTAATAAAAACACTATATGATAAATAAAATGTCAAAATCATAGCCATACCTGCTTTGATGTCAACAGCTGCAATCTTCATGACAACTAATAGCAAGGCATATATATCATCCAAACGCTGAGCTGCTTTTGTAAAACCAGTTTTGACAAGTTGGATGAGAGGTTCCAGTAATGATGATATCTTAAGTGAAAAAAAGCAAATGTCACCAAAGAGATGAAAGAAGTAGCCTGGTCAAGAACAAGTGCACCAAACCACAGCCAAGTCAACCAGCTAACTCGGAAAACAGCATCTGTACTGTTTTTGCAAATGGCTCGTAGACAACGAAGATGCCCTCTTCTTAGAGCTTCCTTCTCCTTAAGACCAGATGAGAAAAACAAAACTACATCTGATTGAATAGCATCAGCAGATCTTGCTGCCCACAAACCCAAAGCTGAAAAAATTGCAAGCTTCTCCTCCTCATTTCCTGGAAATATAAATACACATTTCTTGCAGTGCATTGATCATGCCAATTTTCTGGTTAGGAAATGTAAGTCTTTCCTCTGACCCTGTTCAAATTGAAACCTCGAGTTTAAAACTACCAAGACCAGACTTTAAGAACAACCTTGACTAAACGCTCTGAAAATGCATCATCCTGCAGGCTGCAGTAAACAACATGAATTAATGATGCATGCCTGCACTGTGGCAACTTTACACAACGCATTCTTCGAGACTGAAGCAAACATGCGTTTACTGAAAGGGATACATGACCACCGGAGAAGTCTGTAGCAGCCAACATGTGATTGCATCCTCACTTGTCGTTCCATGACCTGAACAAGGGCTGCTGCAAAACTTTTCATTGTAAACCTTTTGTAATGATGTCATCAACAGCTTTCCTTGACCCATGATCATCATAAATGTACAATGTACAATGTTTTAAATATTATATGTACAGCAACAGCAATGCAGGCTCTGTACCCATTTCTGCAGAATTCAAAATGACAAGTAATTTAAGAACATGTGCAGATGATCAGCCCATATCAAAACTGAAAAATATTATGTAATAAACTCAGTAAGCTCAATGGAATCATGGTATCGAATTATCATAAGAAAAATTACAAAGTTTCATGCTTTGATTTCAAGGTTTAATACCCAATGACGGACTTTGCATCCAAATAATTTCGGGGTTTCTCACCCATGGATTTTGCATCCAAATAATTTCTGGGTTTCTCACCCATAAATTTGTGGCATGCTATGACTAACACAAAAAACAAATGGATTCATTATCCATAGAATTTGGTTTTGCGGGTTTGACCCCATTTGATTGAAGGATGACCACCCATTTGATGAAGGCATATGAGGATCAAGAGAATTGGTCAAAAGCATGGCGGAAATATTTCACAAAAGAGGACATCAGATGGCTCATTGGCTGTCTTTGGTCTCTTCATTTTCGCAGCATTGTAGAAGAAGAACTGCACCTTATTTTTTTCCTTCAGCCTCAAGGCTGTGTTCTCTCTTCTCTTCTCTGCCCTTGTTCTTTTCCTTTGCAGCTTGCTTTTTTAATTTTATTTTTCCTGTGCAGCCTCACGGCTGCTTTTCCCTTGATCTCCCCCTCTTTTCTTGCTGTTTATATATTGATCACCCATCAGAGAATGTTCTAATTTGAAAACATGATGATAAGCTGAGCCTCAAAAACGGAAATGCCAATCTTCTATGAGAGTGCCCACTTTTGGTCAAACTCTCATCTTTTTCTTTTTTGAATTTCCTTCCTTTATCTGATCAGCAAGTTTGTTTTGTTTTGAGCACTTATCAACTTAGATTAGATAAGGTTTGTTGTACCTGGGATTTGACCAATACAACCTTGGCCATTTTTTTGTGAATTTTTTTGGTTCAACAGTGACATTGGGGAGAAGGCATAAATGAAGATTTCTTTAGTTTCCTCCAACATTTCAACTTCAAATTTGAAAAGAAACTTATTGTCAACATTAATTTTTGTTGGCATAAGTGTCAAATTATGTGTATACACAAATATGTGCAATTATAATACAATTATGTCCGACTATAACTCATATACACAAACGAAATGAAAATGACAAGCTCTTAACAATTGAAGCTGTGTGATTGTGACTAATACTAACAACATTGAACTTGTGTGAGTCTGTGACTAGTGCTAATAACATTGTAATGGAAGTTGTGTGAGTCTGTGACTAGTGCTAATAACATTGTAATGAAAGTTGTGTGTCTGTGACTAATACTAACAACATTGAAGTTGTGTGAGTACGTGACTAGCTAGTACCAATAACATTGTAATGAAAGTTGTGTGACTCTATATAAAAAAGGTGAATTACATATATGCACAGAAACGGTCTTATATAAGATTCAACAATGTAAAAAGCGATGTCTCTATGAGGGAGAGACACACACTAGTGTCACTCCTCTCAATCTCATTGATTCCGTTCCGCCCCCAAGTCCCTCCATATTCCATCGATTCTGCGCTGTGCTTCTTCTTCTTTGAACAACACTAGCAAGATGACTGACGTGTAGTTTTGATTCTTGATGGATTTGGAGGGTGCATTAAATTCCCCAACCCCTGCCCCACCATATATGTCATACAAAATGAGATATCATAATTAATGAATGAGATGAACTTTCAAACAAGATTTATGGTATAGATGAAGGGAAATATGCCCTTGAATGATTTTCAAATGACATTAACTTGTAGACCGGAGGTCTCAGGTTCGAATCCCCACAACATCATAGTTGTATGCATGTGTGAGAAATCTCCCTTGTAGTTTAGACTATTGCTTGTATGTATTTTCAAATTTATTATTATTATTATTATTATTATTATTATTATGGTCTGGATGAAATGCTTGAATGAAGCTGCCAAAATGATATGTCAGAAGAATAAAAGATATGTCATTAATGCCAAAATGATGAAAATCTTCAAAACATTTAATTAACCAAAAAAAAAAAAAAAATCTGGATTTACAATGTTGAGGCATCAAGAAAATTCATTCTTGACATCCAAAAGACATGTTAGTTTCGGCCACAAGAGGAACACAAATCCATACAAAAGCAATCAACTGTCAAGCATCCACGACCTCATAGACTAGGATCAGCTGCCATGCCTTAAATTTTGGAAGTGCTCTACACTTCAACTCAGTTTGGTTTGACCTCTTTTACATATTGCTGAAGTCCATGTATTTCTTACAATATTTGCCTGAGATGCCAAGCCTGGAATCATATCTTATCCTGTTTCATATCAGAAAGAAAGAATCAATCTGCATTAGTAAGTGTACATACATATCGTATACTAAAAAACACATCCATTTTCTGTGTACTTCTCAATAATAGGAAAAATATACGTACGTTTTCAAGCGTTACATATTATTTGTGTGTTATACAAGTATTATTTCATTTATGTATTTCATACGTACTTTCTCCATTCTGTGTACTAACTATGATTTGCAAAACTAAAGAAGAAGAAAACAAATTGAAAGAATAAGAGAGAGAGAGAGAGAGAGAGAGAGAGAGAGAGCCTCTTAGAGGATACTTGAATGGTGTTGCTGCTGCCTATTGAACTGGATTCATTTGGAAGTTTGAAGGCAAAGTATCTTTCTCTGTTCTCCTCATCCTTGCCAATGCTTCTAAAACAATGACTGAGAGCAGAATCACGCCGAGAAGAAACCCGTAGCCTATCTTCCAATCATTTCCTGCAGCTCCAATTTTGATCCCGAGAATTATGTTCACAGCTGCAAAGAAGACTGCAAACCTTCCAAGCCAGTGGTGGTACCAATTCCAGTACTTTCTAATCTTGGCATCCTTGTTGGGTCTAAGAAAAAATGCCAGTATCTGAAAACCTCAAAGTCAAAAACTCAAAAATATTAAATCACAGTTCCTTGTATATAGATATGTACTAATCAAAACTATTTTTATAAATTTTTGTATAATAAATTTAATTGAGAGCGACAAACCTGAAGGATACTGAGCACAAGAACAAAGATCCCTATGGCTCTATGTGTTGGGAAGTGGGCTCCTATTTTGGTATAAAGTTGTTGCCCAAGTACCACAGCTGCCAGCCCAATGACAAACCCAACAAATTGAATAAGTGCATGGAGATAGTACCACAAAGGGTCCTTGTGCTTGAAGTATCTTGGGACAATTGCCCCAACAGGAATTATCAGACCCCATCCAAATATAGCCAATATTCCATGGTTCTTCTTCATCTGCCCAAAGTTTGTAGGTGCCTTAGATGCAGAACCTGCAGAGAAGTCGAACAGGATGGTTGTTTTATCGTTGTGCTTGGTTAGGTGGTGGTGCTTAGGGTAACCGCTTCCGATAGCCAAGATAATTGGCTGCCGGGCGAGATGAGTCGGGAATTTCAACTGAAATGCCAGGTAAATTCTGGGGCCATGAAGCACAAGGGAAGCAGGGATGCCGGTGAGTGGCAATTCACCTTTGTCAGGTATGACTTCTGACACCTTTGAACCCTGCAAATAGTATTGCTTAATTCTTGCTTGACCTTTTCTGTTAACCCATCCCACCATGGCACTTGAACCAACCATCATGCCATCTTTGGAAAATCCCAATCCTACCCATCCAGTGGTGTATACAGCAGACAATATAATGTTCATGACATGATCTTCAGTCTGAGAGTACTGCAACAAAGCAAAATAAAAAAAACATTTTTAATTTTGATGTTATATAATTAAGGATGTCTTAAACAACATTGCAAGTTGCAACTACAAGTTCAGAACCAACTAAACATTGAAGTACAAATTGAGAACAGAGACTTACCCTCAAAACAAAAGTGTTCCAAATAGGCCTACAGACTATATCTGATAAATTACCAAATGGTGGTAGCATAAAACTACTCAGCTCATTATCACAAAGCTCTGATACTCCGCCACCCACACCGGCACTATTGACTCCCGGAACATTACTGTCATCATCAGCCACAACCGAAATCTTGGTATCCAAGACAAGGGCCAGAATAACACATAGCCTGCAAGCAAACCTCAAAGCCGAAGACCAAGACCCTGAACTCGCCATTCGAAAGACCAAGAACTTTGAATTGAGATCTAAGGCTCAGAACAAGCAGTGACAAAGACCAGGAACAATGTGGGTTGTGAAAGAGAAGCATATTCAGGTCAGGAGGTTGGGAGGTTTTAGTCTCTTGGGTTTGAAGTAAAATGGAATGTGGTTGGTGTTGGTGGGGGCTGGTGGTTGGTGTTGGCGGGTGTTTAAGTTTTAACACCAAAAATAACCAAATCAAAGATTTACAACATGACATCCTACAGCGGTTTGACATCATTCCGCCAATTCTTGCAAGTTAACCCTCCAACAATGTGTCTCTTTCAACAGTTTATTTATTAAATCCTTTTATTTATTGGGAGAGACATTATTAAATTGCAAAAATAGTGCAATTTTATTATTTGGAAATTCAACAATAACAACAACAACAAAAAATGATAATTTGTGGGTCATATAAGATGATGGATGGATGGATGGATGGATGGATGGATATGATGAATGATGAAACTTTGAAGTTGACTTGTTGTGTATTACAAGATACCATAATGAAGGTCTTATATAATTTGTTTATTGCTTTCAAAAGCATCTTAGCCATTAACCAAATCTAACGGACAGAAACCTCACCACAAGGGAAAATTTGAAAAAAAACACTTGAACAATAGTGACCATTGATGACTTTTTAAGCAATACATAGAAGTAGAGACTACAAAAAATAGTAGAGTCAGTCAGGGTTGAAGTTCAGGCCACATTTTGGATGCAACACCATTATTGCTTGCTAGAACCTGAAGTGCAGATTGAGGCAACAAATCTGTGAGGGATGCAAATTCCCCAACCTGCCCTTTTATTCATGATGGTGTGCAATGACATTTTTAACCTTGAGACCACTGATCTGATCACTGCAGAGACTTGTTTGGAGGGTTCACAGATAGAAGAGATCCTGATCATCTTTTTCCCTTTGCATGTTGACACCAAAAGAATGGACATGAAAAGTGATTTAGCCAGTAACCCTAAAGATATGCTCCTCACCACTCTTCTCATCAACCTTGACAACCCATTTGCTCTTACCACTTCTCTTCTTCCTTCCTCCACCCCAATCTCCCTTTCCAATCTCTTTGTTCTTCCCAATCATGGTGACCTCCATCCCTTTCCCTATCGGATGCTTCGTGGACCTTACCACAACCCTTTCCTCCTTCACTTCCATATGTCCTCCCAGCCCTTTTCTTTCACCAACCAAGTTGTTAGCCACAACCACTGATTTTCTAGGATTCACATCAAGCAACTGCAGCAGCCTTGTGTACTCATCGTTCTTGCAATCAACCAGAGAGAAATCAATGTTCTCATAATTTGACAATAGCTCAGAGGGGTCTCCGGTCCTGAATTCAACCAAGTCTTTTAGGCCTGAGTCTTTGATTACTTTTTTCGATTCGTCGAGAACTGGCTCTGGGACAATGCAGACCAATCTGCCCCCTGTGTGTTTTGCAGCAGCTGCTAAGGCTATTGTTGATGGGGAAACACTTGAGGCCACCTCCACTATGAGCTTGGCTTTCATGCCAGCTGCCAAGGCCGATACAAACTCATTGCTCCCTGGCTCTTGTGTTTTCCATGAGTCACTTTGTTTCCTTTGGTCATTACACTGCAGATTAATACATGAATTTGGAGTTAGCAAATATGAAAGTTTTTCTCACATTCTTCATTAAGCTTCAAACCATGAAGGGAAAAAATATTCAAAATTGGAAAACTATAGTCCTTGAAAATGCAATCTTATTTGACTTCTCGACATGTTGTCAAACTGGGCAATTGATCGAGTAAATTTTCTTAGAATGTGCATTGGATTTACAGTTGAGCAATGTAACATGTCAAATTTTTGTTGCAAGAAAACATTATCACCACTAAAGTATGTGACAAAGCTTCCATGGTATCATTTCTGCAATGATCTCAAAAGGCAACAAAACCCTAAGAAATACCAAAAATCATGAAGATGAAAAAACCCAAATGACCAATTGAAGCAATCATGGTTTCCAATACTCTAAAACAAAATTGAATAAAACACAAACCAGAGAAATGTACCAGTTTGAGGGTATCAAAATAAGCATTTGAAGCAGAAGCTGCAGACCAATCCATCATCCCCATAGCCCCCATGAGATTAATATAACTTGTTCCAATTCCAACAAAGAACAGAAGATGCAAAAAAACTTGGGCGCAAACAATCAAGAGCAGGGAATTAGAACGCGTTTTTTGCTCTGAAACAGGACAAAAATTACAACGTTTACTGCAGTCCTGGTTTATTGTTTGTGCTCTACTGTTCATATATGTCTTCTGTTTTGTTTTTTGGTTTGTTTTGATTGGTTTGGTTTTTGGTTTGTTTGTTTTGAACAAATATATAAGAGAAGGTGCTTCAGAAGCGTACGATTGGAGCAGAGGAAGGACGCGGAAACATACGCAGTCAAAGCGTGTTAATTAGTTGAAAACCGTAGAGCAAAATGTGCGGGAAAATTAGCTATTACTATTGCTCATTTGTCTAAAAATGGCAAACTCTTAGTTTGACTAGAAGCTTCTTTAGACTACTCTTGAACTGGTTTGTTTGATCTTTTTATTTTTATTTTTCTCTTTTATTCTGCTTTTTCTTTCTTTCTTTTATTTATCATAACAAGTTTGAAAGAAAAACAGAAGCCTCATCACTTAGCATATAAATCATAAAGTATGGTAAAAGTTGATCAAAGTTAAGTCAATTTCATTAAGATTTGACAAGTTTGCTGCAACCAAGTTGAAGACTTGAAATTAAATTGTTCAATTTTCTTGTTCAAGAAAAATAAAATATAAAAATTAATTTACGAGTGTAATTCAATACAAGTTGTGATGTTTAGTTCACTTTTTCAAGCGAAAAAATAGATGTAATTAGTTTAAGAAGTTTAAGCTTAAACTTAGTGATACTTTGACATTGGGTTGAAAATGTTTGGAAGTGCTTTTGGAAGGACTACTAAGTGCCCGTTTAGCATTACTTATTTGGGGTGATAAATGATTTTTTTTTTAATTTGAGAAGCTCAACCCGTTTGGTCTATGATGAAATCACTTATTATTAAAAATTGATGTGAGAGAAAACTATAAGAGAAAGTAGCTAATGAGGTGCTTTTATTTTCTGATTATGCAGGAATCAGTTTCGAAGAGGCCCTCGATTTAATGATTATGCGGCAATTATTTTTTGATTATACAGGAATTAGTACCAACAACACTTTTAACAAAAAAATCTATCAAACGCCAAATTGCTTTATCTCACAGAAAATCTGTTAGCGACTATTTTCATAGCACAACATTTGGCAGAAAAATTTAGAAATGCTTATAGGTTATAGAAGCGGTTTATGGAGAATCACCTGTTATGTGTTTCTTCAAGAAGCACTCTCAACTTCAAGTGCCTTTTCAAGAAGTACTTGGATTTCTTATGAAAATTTCAACATCTTTATAATAAGCACACATTTTCTAGAAGCGATTATGAGCACTGAAATGTGAGAGTGCATTTACATTCTTATCCCATCCACACCATCACAATGGAGTGTGACAAATTCATGCCCCATTTATTTCCCCTAAACTTAAACAAAAAATAATAAAAATAATAAAATGAAAAGGCCATTTTTTTCTTTTCTTTTTTTACTTGACAAGCCCTCTTGCTACGACAGCTTCCTTGACAAGGTTGAGAGATTGTACAATATCATCACACAATAGGTGGGGATCAGGAATTGTCTCTTCATCCACTGACAGAACAATAGTCATCTTGTTTATGTAACTTTGGAAGTTAATCATCAATGCCTGTAAATTAATCAGTCCTAGTTAATCAAATGCTACATGAAAGCATTTAATTATACCCATAATTAATGATAAATTTTTATATAAAAAAACTTACATGTGGTTGACCATAAGAACTTGGAGCAAGGAAAGCCATTGGATGGCCATAGAAACCAATTTCCTCAAGTGGACCAACCAGATTGGAGAAGCACATTGTTGTGTGAGAAATAACTCTATGGGATAGAGCACTCGCCCTCTGTTAATTAAACATGGATTATTTTATTAGAGCAGGTTGATTTGTACAAAACCCAAAATTAATAAGAAATTTTCCTATGCAGACGTTCGAACATTATTACCGTGCGGACATTCAGATGAGAGAATAACTGATAGATTCATTATATATATACCTTAATGCCAAAAAGCTTGAGAACTAGTTCTGCAATGGAGAAGGTGTAAATGGCTTCAAGAGAATGTTTCTTTCTGTCAATTGTGGTCTTGGCTTCTCGAATATAGTCTAATGGGTCATCTCTTAAAGCAATTGTGAAAGGAAGGAGGACATAACCAATCCAATTGCCCCATTTTGCTTCTGTGTTCTTCTCCATCATATCAGCCAAGGCCTGTACTCGCAAATATATAAAAACAAATATTGAAGCTTCAAATTATGATTTTGAGAGCATATATGAAAAATCGAACATATTAATCAATATTATTTACCTGAATTCCTGCAGCTGGTCTAATATTAATGAGCAAAGTTGATCTGAGGCGAATTTTCTCAGGAAGATTGTTTTTCTTCTCAGCTCCACTGTCCTTGTTCTCATCGTCACCTAGGTGGCCACATGCAAGAATGGAAAATTTTGATTCATGGATTGCATAAATATTTAAGAAAATTAAGAAAAAAACGATATTCTAAAATAATTGCAATGAGTTTTTGAAAGGCATTTTAGAGATGGAAGTTCACCATATCTTCTATTGAGGTACCGGGACAAACCAGCCTGTGTGACACCCAAAGCAACATCATTTATGGTCTGCAAAACTCATAAACACTTGAACATTAGATATGAAGTTCAACTAGTGAGGAAGGACACGTAATCGAATCAGAGTAATGCTAGAATGATCACATTAGCAGAATTCATGCGGGTGCGGCAGTTGATATTTTAATTAACAGTTGATCATAGTAGTTGACGTAATATATATGATCCTTCTAGTGTTATTCTATAGAATTTATTAAATTGATCATGTTTCCGTTACTTCATAGTTTAGAGAAATTTACTTACCAAGTTCATTGCATTCTTTATCAGCTTCATGTCGTCCAAACTCAGAGTCTGATAAACAAATCGTCGAGGGTTGAACTCACTGCCTGGGGGACCTTTAAGAGGCGTCTTTGTGTCCTCCAAGCACAACGCAGTCAACATAAACATGAATACATCAACAAAAGTATTCCAAAACAACTTCAAAACCCACCAAGCCCCAAAGATGCACCACCAAAATCCTCTGTTAAAAACCCTCTTATCATCATCTTTCTTCTTATTCACTGGAATGGTTGGGAGAGCCTCAGGGTTTGAGATTTGGCGGGTGCAAGCGAGCAGAAGAGACATGAGAGACGTGCCATCGCCAAGAGAGTGGTGGACTCTGAAAATGCCAGTGCCCTCTGCCTCGGAGGTTTTGAGGTTGAGGAGGTGTAGGTCCCACAGTGGCTTTGACTTGTCAATGGTTGTCTTGCTGAGGTTGTAGATGTAGTCTTCAACAAATTGGTCTGGTGACTCCGTGTTTGGATCCAGGTCTGGAATAATTATGTGCTTGTCTAGATCCACCTCCGTTCTGACCCATTTCATCTTTCCTCCATTTTTCTCATCCACGACCTGTGTTGTATAGTAAGTGGCACCAAAATTAAGAAGAGAAAGCTTATTAGAGGTTAAGACATAGAAGTTCTAAATAATATCTAAATTATCAACATGTTTTAAAAGTGCTAAAAACGTTTATCACAACTAAACTTTTCGATCATAAAAAACACTTTCATGTGTTTCTCCAAAAAACACTTCAAAAAGTACTTTATCAAGAAGCTGCGATTTTTAATAAAACTTTTTGGTCATAAAAACATTTTCATGTGCTACGTTGGATGTAATTAATATAGCATATATGCATACATAAGTGACATCATGTGATCATATGAACTTAAATAATTTGAGCTTTGTTTGGATAGTAAATATTTACCAGTAAACTAGAGAAGCGAGGGTGCCTGAGCAAAGTGTGGGGCAAGTTGGCCTTAAAAACATCAGGGTAAATCCTAGTCTTGCCCCCCATGATTGCTACAATATGCAGGTTGAAGTTTGGTTCATGGAACAAACGAGCAGCTGGGCTCAGTGGCTCTTCTTCCACATTCATCATCTCCTTGTTGCAGTTCCTTATGTCCACGCCAGCTACTCCTCCATCTCTTCTTCCCTCCTCCTGCTCCTTTGCTCTCTTCGTTTTTATGGGAGCTGGCTTCCTCAACCTAACACCTTCCTCAGTCTCCATTTTTATTTAGGCTTCAGGGTAATGCATACCTGCAGGCTCAGGATTATATATATATATATATATATATATTTTTTACCCTTTTTTTTTCTTTAACTTTTTGGATAATCAAGTCATTATGATTTACAGGTGAGTTGCTGACCGATTTATGTGTCTTTTGCTGAAGTAGAAAACAATCGGTAAGTAATTTCTCACTAGAGAACAATAACCGTGTGATGTAAGTCCTGATCCAGATCCTGATCATCAAGGTTTCCGGATGCGGTTTTCGTTTACCCTATGGCCACGCGGTACAATCTCAAGCAATGTCATGATCCAGGTGGCTTTGAAGTTTGACCACCGAACCTTTTGTTTTTAATAATTTCTCAGTGTAGGGTAAGAAAATATATAAAAGTAAAAACTTTAATCAGCTCTTTGTTGATAAGAAAATTAAGCCAATAGAAAGAATGTGCAAAACAAACCGTGGATACAAATCAGAGCTGATCATGGCTAAGCCAGGAAGCCAAAGGCAAAAAGCTATAAAGCTAATCGCTCTTTCTTTCGTCATGGTAATTAATGAATAAAGGAATGGTAAATCATGTGAATGAAAAGAATTACTGCTGCCATCCTATTTACTGACCAATTTCTAACCCCTCCTAGCAAAGAAAATTAACCCACCAGACCTCCCTTCCCTACTTGGACCAAGCAACTGCTTCAATCTCAGACTGAGCACTTCTGTACAGCTCTAGCCTCTTCGCAAGGGACGTCCGCCGCTGCATCACTGCTGGGTCCTCATCCAGCAACTTAGCCAACTGCCTTGCCTGCAAATAAATATTGATTAAGTACATGTTATCTGTATAAAGCCTGAAACGGTGAAACATTCAAAAATTCAATAAATATTTGATTGAGAGAGAAATAACTGACAAAATTCGTTATCCACTTTATAATTTTAGGTTTCTTTCAAATACCACATAAACATTTGTTCATATTTTTATGTAATTAGTCAAATTGGCACACGTTTTTGCTCGTGTCAAGAGACTAGTTACTTTAATACAATCCAGCTAGGTTTTCCCTCT